TGTGGAATTCTGGGAGTTGAAGTCAACAAGTCTTAAAGCTGCAAACTTTGGAGTCCTGCTTTAAATTGAAAACTGCTCGGAAGGAGGTTTGCAAATTGACATTCAGCAGTTATTTGGGGGACGGGAGGGGTTGCTTCCCACAGAGGGAAGGGAAAAAGAAAAAGAAAAAGAAAAAGAAAAAGAAAGAGAAAGAGAAAGAGAAAGAGAAAGAAAGAAAGAAAGAAAGAAAGAAAGAAAAACAGCACAGCAATTTAGGGCCACAAGGCTACTCTGAGGTCATCTAGTCCAATCTCCTACTGCAGCAGGAAACCTTACATTGTCTGGACTATTTTGTTGCCTCTAACAGAGAGGAAAATTGCCAGAAGGAAGAAATAGTTTACTAGGACAAGACTGCCATGCAGAGGAAGGCAGAAATAGTCCTTGACTTATGACTACAATTGAGCCCAACATTTTGGTTGCTAAGCAAGAGCATTGTTAAGTGAGCTTCACCACATTTTACCCAATCCATGACATCTCCTGGTGATTGACATCAAGTTGGCCATGCCCACCAAGTCACATGACTGACAAGCCATGCCCACAAAATAAATAGTAAAAGTTTTGAAACCCACCCCTCATCTAGTCCCAGAGATTTGAATTCATCTAAAGTGAGTTGATGTTCTCTTGCCAATATCTTGCCTATATTGATCTGCATTCTTGTTTTTTCTCCCACGGTGCTGCTTCTGATAGGTCAGACTATTTTTTCATTTTTGCATGAAGATAATTGCAAAGAAGGCCCTGCTTGACATCTTCTCCCATAAGTGGACTGATAATTTCTTTGGTTTTCTTCTTTTTTCTTCTTATTTACTGAACGAAACTTTTTTTCAGTTATTTTTTATATTTGTAGAAAGTCTGAGCTAAGGCTTCCTGACTGCTTTTGAAGATTCAGGCTATTTGCTGATACTCTAGTCTAGTTACATGACCTGCTTTCACCTTTTCATACTTTTCCTTTTTGTCTCTCAGTTTGTCAGAAAACGTTTCATGTGGGGATTCGATTGGAAGTTCTCCACCCGGATAGACAAGGGAGGTGTGAGCTCTGAAGAGTCTCACATGAACTCTGTCTGACAAACCAATTCCGAGATCCTTTTTGGATCAGAACCCCCCTGGGGGAGGGGGTGAAGAAGGGGCAGCGTCTCATCAGACCCAGAGGGAGTGCAACAGGTCCCTTGTAGATCGGAGATTTGCCCTCTGAATCAGAGTCGAGGTGACAGCATGGCAACATGGCTGCACAAGAAGCTGGCTTCCAGCCAAAGCAACTGAACAGGAGCATCCAGGATGGGATAAAAGTCCAGTAAGAAGATCTAATTAACTCACAGTCATAAATCAGAACTTGGAAAAGACAAAGAACCTTGAGAGTATAAATTATATTAATGGACAGATTTTGATTTTGGCAAAAAGAAAGAAAGAAGGGGGAAAATGGAGGGTTGAACCACTAGACCAAAAAGAGCCATTTGGTTGAAACGCATGTGGACAGAAATCTGGACAGAAAAGGAGAAAGTAGATAAGTGACAAACCCACTCAAATACAAACTCTAAATTTGGTCTTGAATTTGAAAAGACTATGTTTTTAAGAGAGATTAGGAGGTTGAAATGAAAATCAAAACATACAAGTAGATTTGCTCTGTTCAAATTTCTTCTAACATACATATCTCAAGCAATTCCAATTAATGAGAGGTGGAATGTAACAAGGGAAAAAATTCAAGAAAAAAGCAATATTTTCTCACTGATAACCTGATCTTGCCTATGCGGCAAGTGGAATGTGAAACCCTGAGCAGGAAAATTTAATAAACCAATTGCCATAAATCAGAATTTGGAAAAGCAGGAGGTGAAGAGAAACACACCGGAATTTGGCCGTATGCAAGTTTATTCCAATTAATATATTTTGAGCAACTATATCCAATGAGAGGTGGAAGGTAATAAGGGAAAAAATAATAAAATCAAGAACTGGGAAAATATGATTTTTCTCCCTGCAAAAGATCAAGATGGCTCCCACTTCTCTTCCTTTTTACATTAGCTGAATTAGCTAAATTTAAGGTGGACCAGAATTTTTAAATAAGAACAGACAATTTTGGAACTGGACATTAAGGAAGAACAAAAGATTAAGATGGCTCCCGTCTTTCTTCCTCTCCACATCAGTTGAGCTAGCCAAATTTAAAGTGGACAAGAACTCTGAAATAAGAACTGTATAATTAACTGTAACTCTGGAACTGGACATTATGAAAAGGTGGGAATTTGAAGAACTATATGAAATTATAAAAAATATGCATAAATCATTAAAATCGAGTCTAAATAGAATTTTGAACTCAGAAAAGCAAGAAGTGAAAGAAGAAGGGGGGAGGGATAATGAAGGGGTAGAAACAGTGGAAAATAAAAAAAAAGTTCATTGGTTTTGACAGTGGTATAGGGAAAATTGAAAATTGAAAAGGGGAATGTATCCCAACAAAAGGAAATAAAAAACAGATAAAAGATTTTATTGAGGTTGATAGTGGCATAGGGAAAACTGTAGAGGGGGGCTATGCCNGCATGCTGGTGGCTGATGTTTGGACTTGGTCAAGGCCAACCGTTTCGCATACCAACTTGATGAGGCTGTTTGAAGGTGCACCCCACATGACATCTTAGGGAGTTGCAGATTGGACACTGGGTTGGGGAATTAGGGGGAGGGTGCTGGGTAAAGGTTTGATATGTATATGTTCCCGCCTTTCTGGCTCAGATCTTGCTTTCCTTTTTCTGTTTTCACTTCATATCTAGTAAAAGCACTTTATTTCTATTAACATGGAGTTGAGGTTTTCCTTGGATATTGAAGGAGGCATGCCTGACAGAATATTTATGATGGCCATGTGGGACGTTTCACTTTAATGTCTAATGGAAGATAGCCATGGGAATGTATGTTTATTAGGCTCTCAGGACAGTTGATAAAGGAAACATCTTCACACTTGTGTATTGGCTAAAATTTGGATTCTAACTAATGGGAGGAGTCTTTATTGCTTTAATTCTACTTGCATTGCCTAAGAGGATTCAGATGTTGCTTTGAATTCAATGGCTGCCATTCTACTTAATAAAAAGTTCCTTTTGAAATACTCCGTTTCAAGAGTCTTCACTTTCTTAAGTTAGGAGAAGAGCCCTTACAAATTCACTATTATATATTATATTATCATTTAGATTGTAATAATATTTACAAATATATACAGTATTGTCATACTATTGTAAATATTGCATACTTCTTATACAGTAGTTTTACATCTATCCTCTAGCCATTTATAACATTATAGCTCACTGAACCATTGCGCCTCAAAATATTAGTTAAGAGCTAAATTAAGAACTCATCAAATAGCAGTATATTAAGAAAAATGTCATAAACCATGGTAACTTATTTTCACCTTGCTTTCCTTACCAGTAATTCTTCCAAGGTGGCCTTCATAGAATTGGCCCACCAGGCCTCCAACGTGTGCTCCAAGGCTCACCCCAATAAGATGGATGGATGACTCTGGCGCCCCCATAGCCTGAAGGTTGGAGAGAAGAATAATTAGAACTTTTTCTTCTAAATGCCCTGAAAACATACAGATAAATCCCCCAACATCTAATCAATTGGTTCTTGTTTTTCTCTGGACTACTTTGCTTAGATGGAAAAGGGAAAAAGCAAAATGAAGGTAACTCTAAAATTAGAGTNGAAATCATGTTGTATTGGCTTTAAGTATTTGACACCGCCCTCCCTACTTTTGGAACCTTATTAGGCAGGGATTAAATTACTACAAAATTCAAATATACTATAATTATCACTTTTGATTTTTTATTTTTTTTTGCTACAATGACTAGTCTGGATTCAATTTTGGAAATTGCTTCCTTTTCCTTTGCTGTCTTCTTCACTTCTGTTTAAGTGGGGTTCCTTTACATCGAGACTACTTATATCAACATTCACAAATGACAAATTTGGGAAGTGCTAGTTCAACCGCATCTTTGGATCTTTTCTCCTGTGGGTTTATTTTTCATTAGATTCTGATTTGAGCTTTCCAACAAATGCTGCTCCAGTTCTTCCATAGTATGTCAAGAGAAACTCTGAAATCTCTCTTCTGTCCTTTTCAGAGAACTCTAGGACAAACCATTCAAATGTCATCGCACTCTCTCTCCTCTTTCTGCCTCCCTTTGATGAATCATCGCCCAGGCAATATGTGTCTTTGGTTGTGCCATCGTTTGCATTACTAAAGTCTTTGGTTATTGATCTTTGTTCTTGCAACACCTGTATTATAATTTATGTGCATTGTAACAAGTTATTGGATGACTAATGGATGAAAGGGAAGGTGAACAGAAGTAAAAAAAAAAAGGCCAACAGTGAGATCAACATTGCAAAATCCTGATTGCAGGAATTGCACACCTGGAATACTGATGTTCAGCACTGTTGGAGTGACTCAGGGAGAGATCAGAATCAGGATAGCAGGGGATTAAAAAAAATTACTTGGCCAAAGAATTTGGTAGGAGTTACAAAAAACATGTCATATAAAAATAGCTGCTGGATGATTCACAAAAGAGATCTTAGCTGGCCAAGTAAGATTTTTGACTGTTGAAGGAGTCAAAAGGAGGAAGGAAGGAAGAAAGGAAGGAAGGAAGGAAGGAAGGAAGGAAGGAAAGAAGGAAGGAAGGAAGGAAGGAAGACTTCCCGTACCAAGTGAGTGATACTGTGTAAGTATGAGCAGGAAATATTACAAATAAATAAATAATCTTAATAAAATTGAAATAGAAAACTTTGGGGTTGGATTCATGCTTGCATAATTTCATATGCCTCTCTCATCATCTGCCAATGCAGAATTGATTATTCTAGTCCAGCTGCATTCACAGGGCTTCAACAGCACAAATTCAGTCCTGCCATGTTTGCATACAATGTCGTGATTTTTATACAAAAGGATCTAGTATCACAGCAATGTAATGCTGCTTTGGACATTTGCTCCTCTCCTCTCCCTTGCCTGCAGACACCTTAATTTTAGCTTGTGGTAGTTGTTAAATACAGTCACTTAAACAGAATTCAACTTTGCACAAGGTTGCTCTGGGCATAATTTTATCTCCACTTAAAACAATTTTAACTACAATATTACTTTTTCCGCATTGTGTATGTAGGAAGTTAGCACCCACCTTTCTCCTAGAAAAATGAAATATTTTAGGAAATATTAAAACGGCGGAATATTTCTCCTAAAAGGGAGGCAGAATACTTCTGCCCTCACCTTTGTTAATGGGCCATTAAGTCCTGAGCCAGTCTATTCTACATAACAAAGATCTACCTTCTTCAAGCAGAGCCATGGTAGGACTTGCTCAAAGCCCCTTCATTACATCATCACCCAGCAAGGCTCAACCAAGCCTGGGACACAGACAATTTATAAAGTTACCCCTGAATGGTAGTCTGACAACCAATCAGAATACAAGCTCAAATTCAAAAGCCCAGAAAGGGCATAAAACCCAGGCACTGTCAGCATCGCTTCCCTTTTTTACCCAGGACCAAAAAACCCATGTGATCCTGTCCACCATTAAATCATCTTTCCAAGTAGTCTCCATGTTTCCAGTGTCTTTCTCCCCACTTGGAACTGAACCCAGATGGACATTTCTTCCAACGGCGTGCATCTATTAATTTTTCAGTTCTATTGTGATGGACTACAGTTGATTAGTTCTGGAGGTCTTGGGAAGAAATCCTACTTCTGTTGAAGACCTGTGGGTGCTTCCCTCCCCCCACCTCCTGAACCGTGGGTGGGAATTGTAGAGATTCTTTTACAGAATTAAAGCAACTGGAAACCTTGTTTTCATTAATGTTGACTTAACTTGGTTAGGAAATAGCGAAGACAATAAACACCACTTCCAGCTTTAACAGATTAACAATTCTTTGTTTGTTTGTTTTTTTGCTTGGCATTGGCATTTCTGCTTTGTACTCTTTAGTCATGTGGTTCTAATTTGTTGTCCAACTGGATTTTATGTTCTTTGCCACTGGTACCAAGAGAGGCAGGCCATGGAAACCCTGAAAGGAAAACACAAGTGTGTTTCTGGCTCTGGAAAAAGGCTTCCTAGGTGGTCAGAGACTGGGGTCTGAGACTGAGAGTAATGTCATCTGGAATGGAAAAGTGATTAAAAACTACTGTTCTGGATGTTGTCTCCACTGAAAGAATTCTAGCAGTGATCCTTTGTTTGAATGGTAAAAGATTTGTCGGCCAAAGTAGACAGATTACTGGGTAGAAGAGGTGAAATTTAAGGTGGATATTGAAGATGAGAATGGGGAAGCAGGGAAAAATCTGACTTTCAAACCACCCAGATGTCCTGGGGGGCTGTTGAGTCATGAACCCCCACAATTTTAACTTAAGGCTGTCTACTATAGCCGCACACCATTACTAAGAGGTCTGTAAGGGATGTCCATAAGCCCACCGTCCCTGTCCCACTGTCTCCATTTATTCGTATCTATTTACTGTGTTCATATTCATGTTTATTCTTATACCTGTTATTTTTTTTTACAAGTTTGACAAAATAAATAAATAATAAATAAAAATTTATACTTTATAGTGGCTTATGTGAATGTCTGCCATAATGCTGATGCAGCAATGGATATTCAGTGATTCAACTTGACAGGTAATCCTTGACTCACAACCACAATTGAGCTCAAAATTTCTGTTGCTTAGCCAGACAGTTGTTAAGTGAGTTTTGCCCCATTTTATGACTTTTCTTGCCACTGTTGTTAAGCCAATTTCTTCCAGTTGTTAAGCTCCCTTTTAAAGTAATCTAAACTAGGAGCTTTACATATTATGATAGCCAATCCTATTGTTTACTTATCGTCTGTATATTTAAAACAATTGCATTTTTGCACATGCATGATTTATAAGGTGGGCCGTGGTCTTCTGAATGCTTCCTGGCCAACATTTGGAGGAAAAGAGAAGTAAAGGCCCACTCCCCATTTGCACTTAATTATAATGCCATCTTGCCTTGATTGTTGTTCTCCTTCTATTCATGAGATCACATATTTGTCAGATTTCAAACCAGTTTCTTCTCAAGGACGTCAGAGATTTAAGGGTGATTGCTTTTGATGTTACTTGCATCTAGTAGGGTGAATCTAGCTATCGAGTCCCATTGCAGGGCTCGCCATACCTGGCAGTGGCGGCGACAATGGGAGGGGGCACAGAGGTAACCTTCTTGCCAGGCAGTGGCTTCAGCAGCCGCAGCTTCTGTGGCGGCTGCTCGTCAGCTGTGTGGGTTCACTCCGGAATGCAGCCAGGAGGAGGGGCGAGCTCCGGGGCCATGCTGGTGAGGGGCGGGGGCTGAAGATGCCACCAGCGCTTCTGGGATTAGAATGCCTCAGCCACCCATTGCCTATTGCACTGGGGACTTCCTGGACCTTGCTGAACTTTGCCGATGCACAGTCGGGATGCTGGCTACTAGTGCCTGGATGCCATCTGACCAGCAGGCATAGCAGTCTGGTCAGCGTCATGGCCTGGCCCCAGGCCATAAAACGCACTGGGGGGGAGGCGATAGCTCCCAGTGCTAACTTTGCACCTTTTTGTGTATTAAGCCCAACTTGTACCTTGTTGTTCCAGCCATTGAAGGAGAGTTAAAGCATGGATTCTCCACCTAATGTGTCCCCTGTGCATTTGTTTGCTTTCTCCCTGGTCCAGGCTGGGACACTTTGACACTAGCAATTTTTCTATTCTGCTATCCAATACCCAATTTGAGATTGCAAAGATGTGCAGAAATGGTTTTATGTTAAATAGCATGCTGTGAATGGCATGATTATATCACAGATGGGTTTCGCATAATTTTACCACCGGTTCACCATGCGCCAAAAATGTGAGTGCATGTGAATTCTGGCTTTGGGAAAAGGCTGGTTAGGCAACTGGATGTTTGGGGTCTGCGGGTGTTGGCCATTTG